TTGTAGTTTTGAATCTGTCAATTCGCGTTTTTAATCCGCAATAAAAACAATAGAGCTGCCCGTCACAATATGTTTTTTTTTAATTAGGAACAGGTATGGAAATAACTCAATATGTTTTTATTAAATTTGTTTTGATAACTGTAAATAAATTTAACATTTTTGCGCTTATGTTTTAATGATGTGGATAAATTAGACCTATCTCTTTACCTATCAGAAATGATAAAAGTATTTAGCCTTTTGCTACGAGCATATGAGTGCAGTCTGACGAGGCCCAATTGGTTCAGAAAGATCCTTTATTTTCATATCAAGATAATTTCAGCTTAAATGGAATTAAGTGAATCATTTTCCAACGTTTTTTATCAGCTTCTTTGAGCATTATTGTTGTGGTAATATACTTTACGTTCGTATTTTCTTTTTCAACACTACAATGACATTACTTCGGAACTTAATGTTTTGCATTGTCAAATTCCCAATAGTTTTTAACGACCCATTTAGAATTATAATGGCTAAGAATTATTTTTCTTTCTTTCTGAAATCGTTCATCTGTTTTGTTATTTGGTTTTTTTATGTTAAAGGAACTCGTTCAACCGGTACATTGTTTACCTAGCGTCACCTTAATACTAAATAGGTATATACAATTACAGTAAAAAGCAATTATCGTTTAGATGACGTCATACATACAGTTTCTAAAAGCAAACCATCCCTTATGCGACCGTTTTATGTCATGGAAATGGGATACTCAAATATATGTTAAAGTGGTTAATGACACACGATCATGAATTTGTAACGTAAGCATTTTTAGAAAATATTTGATAAAAATTATGTTTTATCTTATTTTGTCTCTGATTATTGTTTAATGGTGGAACAGTTATTTATAGGAAAAAATATTTTATAGAAATAATAAATGTGCTATTTTAATAGATATTATGTGATTAGAACTAACACTGAGTTTTGTCAAACAAAGTCATGATCATAACTATGTATATTTTTCGTTTGTTTCCCACACGATTCAGAGTATACATATGTGGGTGCCCTTTGTTGTACCAAGGACTAAAATAAGCAATATTCGTTTAGACATTGATGTGTCAAACGCATTACACCTCTTATGACATAGTTAGTTTTCTCTGTGTTCGTATATTTATGACAGAAAACAATGTGCTAAACGGTATCTCATATACTAATTATTTCATTCGTTAAAAGAATTATTCTGAAATTATCAATTTTCACAAATGAAAAGTTGCAAGTCCAGTGTTCCGTGGTCATTTTAAAGCAGACAACTGTTTATGACATGACCATACAACATGTGGAAAGCAATATGAAAATCGACAAAAATTAACTTGCAATGGTATGCACATTTTATTACATTATTTATATTCCGTCACTTTCGCGATAAATTTAAAGTGCCGGAAAAGACATGGCTCATTTTATTACCTGAATAAAAAAATCACCGAACGCAATATTTATTGTTGATGTTTAAATACACTGTACTAAAGTTCGGTTTTATTACTTTAATTTGTAAACGACCCCCTTTAATAAAATCTTTAAGACATTTTTATCGTATAATCGAGAATAATAGTTGTATGTGTGTCATATTTTTACATCCAGAACGAACAGATTAAAGGTTGCCAGCTCCTAGGTTCAATCACATAAAGCTATGACACCAACTTATATATTGACATATCTATGCCATAATTCTACGAACATTGATGACATTGCGCAAAAGTTACAATTATAATTACAATTATTTCCAATGTGTAGTGTTTTAGCTATTGACGTTCCAAAGCGGTGCCCCAACTTGTTCCTTCCTTTTCCCTTCTTTATATTTCTGCCTAGTTAAAAAGTTTCACCTTGTCGTGGAGTAGTTCTCTCATTTTATTCATGTATATTCACCCTTCCTAATCTTGATACGTCCCATTCCCCCTACAATTTTTCTGTATAAAGGATTTAATCTAAGACCCAATTTGGTACATAATTAGCCTGTTTGGTGGTACTTTGGTTTTCGTTGCTTAAGGATATTGCAGGGGTTTCGTTCTGTGTACGTTGCTCTCTATCCGTTGATTTTCTAAAGTTCTAGCAAAATCAATCTACATATTTTTTTCAAGGATGTAGACAATGATTTATTGCTACAATAACTGAAACATAACGATAATAAAATTATTCTTTAAGATGCCACAAGAGGGAATCTCCTGTATAAAAAAATGCCAACAGTTCGTATAATCTACTTTGATTTTTTCAACAAAAAAGAAGTCAGGCTCGTTTGAAATAATACACAAGAATAAAACTAACGGAAATAAGTTCAAGTCTGCTCAGTGCACAAATAAAATAAATAGTAAATGTCCATCAAATTCTTTAAAAGGTTTGGAATGGAGTCTCCAGTCTCTTTTTAAATTTGGTCGCAGCAAAAGTTCCTTCCTTTACTTCCATCTACACATTAAGTTTGTTCATCCCTGGAAGTTTAAGCAAAATCTGCTATCCGGTTTAAGAAGAATTGCGTTCACAAAATTTCTATATGGTATTTATAGTGAAAAAATCAACAAAGGGCCATAATTCTGTTAAATTTGGTCGCAGCAAAAATTTCTTCCTTTACTTCCATCTACACATTAAGGTTGTTCATCCCTAGAAGTTTAAGCAAAATCTGCCATCCGGTTTAAGAGGAGTTGCGTTCACAAAATTTCTACAACATTATATAGTTAAAAAAAAGCAACAAGGGCCATAATTCTGTTAAATTTGGTCGCAGCGAAAATTCGTTCCTTTACTACCATCTATACATTAAGGTTGTTCATCCCTAGAAGTTTAAGCAAAATCAGCCATCCGGTTTAAGAAGAGTTGCGTTCACAAGATTTTGGAACGTACGGACAAACGTACGGACGGACGGACAAGTGCAACGCTATATGCTCCCCACTTTGTGGGGGCATAAAAATTAAAATGACAATAACAGAAAAACAAACATTTTAAGGACTTGGAAGAAAAGGCTTAATAGTTTGAACTAAAATTTATATTGAAACAGTTGTATACGAATTAATATTATACCAAAAGTCAATTACATTTATATCACAATGGGATGTGAAGTGTCTTCCTTTATTGTGTTTCAGGAGGTCCAAAGACATGACAACATAAACATTTGATGCTTTACATTACATTGCAATTAACTAGGACATTTAAAACGCAGGCATGCGCAAACAGAAAATAATTAAGAAAAAGCTCAAAATAAAGTCAATTGAAGATCGTTTTGTTATGAAAAGTCTTCGTCTGCTTTTGAGTAAAATGGAGGAAATAGGAATTTAAACATTTGTTTATGAGTTTTGTTTCATTGATTTTGGAAACAGAATGAATGAGTAAATGATTTGAAACAAACTTTGCACGCAAGTAACTGGTTATTATTTCGTCAAATGTTATTGCATTTTTATAATATATTTGTTATCATGTAACGTTAAAAATAACCTCAGTCCAACAAAATAGAGACTGCTTTTTATTAACAAAAATGCTTTAACTAAATTAGAAAAATTCTTCCAGCTTGCACATGATACATTTTGTTGTTGTTGTTGTTGTTGTTTATATCAAATACAGTTATAGTCTGATTTTAATAAAATAGATGGAAGAAAGAATTTGATATATTTGTCTGTTTTAAGGCAAGATCAGTCTGTTCTAGAAGTCTAATGTCATTTCTATTAATTCTAAGTCTAGTAAGGTAAAGCAAATTGTTTCAATGAATAATACGACAATATAAACAGTTTACGTTAGACTGCCATCCAGTAAATTGTAAAGTAAATGCAGTCCTTTAATAAAAGACAGAATTGACTGCTTTCAATTTCCTTGGAATAGTTTTACGTTTATATGATTATTTTTTATAATAATTGTATTAAGTGATGGCCTCGTGTCATTTTGTGTTCACTTGATATATTGCAAACGTTTGAAATTATTAGATTAAACTTAAAATTCTTTGATTACTTCTGCTCAGCTCTGTGAAATTTCATTTTTTTATTTTAGGTTTTTTTTTATTTTAGATTAGACTTGTTCATCTTTGTCTCCCATGCTCTAAGACCTAAAATGCTCCTAAAGCAGTGTAAAGATTTTGTTACCAAGCAAAGATAAAGATATGAACTAAAATAAATTAATACATAAAAAACAGACACAGATTTTATAAATATTAATATATTAAGTTTTAGACTGTACACTAAGAATGTCATTTGAAAGCGTGGATCAATGATATTTAGTACTTGCTTCCGGATGGAGAGATCCAATGGTCAACAGTTCTGTTTAGAAAAAAAATATACAATTCGTTATATCATTTCACCCAAATTAGTACAATCTATCGCCTAAGTCCTTTACAATCTGGAACTCACTTTAAAACTGATCCATATCTTGAACTATATAACCACATTGCTACTCGGGTGTACGCGTAAATACTCACTTTTATTGTATCGTTTTTATTGTATTGTATTGTTACAGTATTGCATTGTATTGCAAAAGAAAAGGAAGAATGCAATATTGAAATCACTAGTACCACCTATTATATAATCATTATAATGGTTCGACCGAATAATGAAAATATTATAATGTTCAACTTATACTTTTAGATTTTTTTTAATCAAAACATTAATAAATCAAACTTCAGAAAGATTATTTCATTATAAGAATAATAAGAAACAATATATTTAAAAAAAATGTACTTGGCTATTTCTTACAAAACAAAAACAAAACAAAATATCTGTAAATAAATACAAGACTCTGAGTAGGTAACAAAACACGTCTATTTTTTCTCAAATCAAATGCATAATCCCCCTCAATCAGTTCTACAACATTGTAACTCAACTATATCTAGTTATATTACACTATCATTTCTAAGTGATCTCATTTATCGCGAATCCCTTAACTGAAAATGATGTAGAGAATTCATACAAAACGTTTACAGATAACAGTCAAGTCGTTCCTCTGAATTAACCAATCGGATTTGCACTGTCAATTCGTAATTGATTCTGATGCCTTATAAATTGGATTCTATTGGCGATTATAGGAGCACTGTATATTAGGAAAGGCAATCACGCGCTGGATTGGGATCTGCATTAGGTTAAATCTGTTCATTTCATCTATACGCTGATAAGGCTTCATACATAAAATTTTTAGGGATTTAATCTATAAAGTATTTTTACCATAAAAAAGCATAAAACAACATCACGTGTAAATATTTATTTTTTAGTTAGGGTGTATTGATAAAATAATTTCAAAAAATGAAGAAGTTTGTAACAGTGTTGTTATGTGCGCTTCAGGCGGCGTTTATGTATGCTCTACCTGATTTACTATCATTGGTAAGTATTTTTATTTTTTTTCATTTACATATATATATATGATGAGAAAAAAAAATTAAAGTAAATCTGATTAAATTGATACTAATGATATTAACATATTTATTTGTTTTGTGTGTATATTAGTTTTTTTTATTATTATTTTTACTAGTTTTGTCAAATATTTAGTTTTGATTTTTTTAGATGGCCATTCATTAACATTTACATGATTTACAAATATGATGTTTCTTGACAGTTACTATCAGACAATTTCTTTAAAAAGCATATCAAGGACAACATTTATTTGATTTTATTAATTTTCTAGGCAGGTCTTGTAATGATGAATGCACAATTCTTTTAAAGAAATGACTACAAACTATTCTATCAAAGTGTTTAAAGCTAATTTCCTGCTGAAAAAACAACATAGTTTGAATAGTATTTTTTTTAAATATGCTTCAAAAATGATTGTATAAAATCAAATACGATAAATAATTGCCTTACAAGTAAATCGTGCATGCACGGAATCATTGTAAAAAGAAAAACAACTTACTTGAAACAACAGACTGAATTTTGTTCCTGAAAATATTATTTTGTTTACGTACAATATCCATGTGACATATAATGTTACCAAATCTGTCGGGAATCGACCATAAGAATATTGAAGTAATATGGATCTACTGCAGATACATTTTATAAAAACTTTTCATAAGATATACCATTATATTACTTAAGCTTCTGTTGAGATGTGTTACTTTATTTCCACAGTAAAAAGGAAACTGAATAGTTTTTTTTATCAAAGTTGAAAATGTCAATGGAACCATTCTGATTTTATGAATGATTATTTAATGCTTCTTTTGTAATTATTGTGATAACAGAATTTATTGTACTATTAACGACATTGTCTTCTATTTACTAACTTTCAAAAAGAGTAACAAAACAAAGATTATTATGCAGAATAGTATGTATTTACTTTTGATACCGAAATTAATATTCGTTATAGTAGTAACCAATCATTGTTAAGATAACGTAGTAGAAGAGAGTTTTTACAATTATAAAAAAATGCTTACAACATACATTTTAATGATTCAATTCGTGCTTATGTGAACAACACGTGTCTTTTAGAAGCAGTAAATCTTTAAGATGACCTTTAAATCGAGGTATTTCCCGTTATAGACAAGATATGTAAGCTCTAAGTTTTAATCGCTTATGACACGTTTATGGTTATCTATGACATCCGAAAACAACGGCAGTTTTCAGCTACTGTTATCAAGTTTATATAAACGGTTAGAAAGTTATATTCAAAAAGAGTAAAGACATTTAATATTTCCTATTTGCTTTATAATTGTTTAACAGAATATAGGCAAAGAGATGAGTTTTTGCTATACCTATTTAACGCCTATTATTCGCTTAACCAAGATAAATGTATAGATCTACGTTCAGAAAAAACTTAGAAATATGAATTGCGTTAGTTGTATAGTAATTGAAATTATTGTAATAGTTTTGTATAACAATTGTTATGTAATGCAAACTATTGCAAAGCGTATATCATAATTATCTGATGCTTATCCACTAACGTATGTGTAAGATTTTACCATCCGGTTAACACTGATTTGAGATGTGTTTCTGACGTCTGCGTCTGTGTTTATGACATTTTGTCATTAGGGCTTTACCTTTTTATGCAATACTTGGCAGTCAATAGTGGGTTGAAATAATACATACGGTCGGTTAGGTATATCATAATAATATTATATAAGTGTTTTTTTTACTAGCATAAAAATGTATATCGTTAAAACGTATATATTCGTATGTTAATTTTTTTAAATATTATATTAGTATCAAATTTAGAATAAAGGTGTCCGAAAACCACTTTGATACATTAACGTTTTTAAATGATTTAAGGGAAGCGGTGGCCTAGTCTGCCACTTTCAGTCCAGAGGTCTTAACTTCGTACATTATTTGCTTCACGACCATGTTTCCTCACAAGGTATCAGAACAGTACTATTTCAAGCCGATTCCAAAGATGTTTAAATAAGACTACAAGCATCCTTTACGACCAATTTATAATTTGATAATAAAAAGGTTTATCACATACCCGTGCCTATTTTACTACATTAACATTTATACATGGTGTAAAGACGCGCTAATGGATGGCGTTAACCTAAAGACACGTAAATGAAATAAAATATTCGTTTGCCCTTTAAAAAGTGTTTTTGGGATATGAGATAAACAGATTATTATATTCGTGAAGGTTCATAACTGAATTTATAAAACACGTTGGAATATTAAGCTCGCAAGAGACGCGCATAATATAATTGTATTCAACTCGTTCAAAAAATTCAGTACTGAACCAAAACTATTTCAATATCCGCTTTGTATCTTCAAGTTCTCAGTACTAGATAAATTGGCTTGCTTATTGCAAATGCATGTCTTTGCCTTTCAAGAAATGCTAATTGTTTCTTAGGTGTATTTAATTAACCCAATAGACCATCCTCACTATCGGCTTTGCAGTGTTAAGTTATAACAAGTATAACTATAGGAAATAAATGGGCCCGAAGTAACAGACATCTACAAGAAATTTTGCAGTATTTTTTATCAAAAGAATGGTATGCGTAAGCCATCTTAGCCATCTTCTTATTATAACTTTATTTTAGATGTAATCTATTTAACCATACAGCTGTTTGTAAGTAGCGAATACACAAATCCTCTGAATATATTCAACAGCAACGTTCCTATATCTAATGTGTTTCCCAATACCTTCAGATACGTGTTTTACAGAAACTGAACAGATTTAATAAACTTGAATCTGCAATTTTCATATAACATATTGTTGTTTCATTGCTTTTCAGGGATCATATTCTTCAGATTTGTTTTTTAATTAAAGGTTAAATGTTAAGTATTAATAAATCAATGTTGGTAATGTATAAAAATTGTTAACTCATTTGATTTAATTTATTGTTATAAATATTGGTACCAACAAGAACTTTGTTAAATGATGGCTAATTATCATATTTGTCGGTTTTTTAGAAAATTTATTGGTTTTTAATTTAATCAAATTATAACCGTATTATATTAAATGATAAATACATTTTTTATGAATTTCGGCAGTGTTATAAAAAGTTTGTCATCATTGATTTACAAGGAAAAGAAGTTATTAGAAAAATCAATGTACTAAAAGAAGATGTCCTGATAAAAACGTTTCATAATTATTATATTAACATTTCATTAAGAACGTTAGTTTGTAACTAAGAATTGATCAAAAGTATATTTACATGTACATTTAACTGACCATAATGTAAAGTAGGGAACCGTCATGTATCAACAAATCTCTAGAAAAAAAAAACAACAACAACAAAACAAAAGCAAATAGGAAACAAAGTTCAGACATCCAAGAATTATTTCATTAATCATTGAGGAAAAACCATTAAGACTTTCGTTAATGCTTTGGATTATGTCATATAGACACAGAGACAAAGGTCAGACATTCGGAAATTATTTATTTAGATTGTAGATATATCATCCCTTTAAGTGCACTTTTTTCTGGTCCTCCGGGGTTGATCATTGATTGAAACACGTTTAGCAATTCAATGATTGAATTCTGTGCACTAGCCGGTGGTAATGAGCGTAAAATATTGTGCACTTCAGATTATCTCTAAAGGACAGACTTAGTCAAATTGTGTTTGCAATTGTCATACAAATATGTTGTTTAAAAAACTTTCGAATGTTATTTTTAATCCAGAGTTTCAGATAAAGAGGAATCTAATGTTATGTACAATAGATTATTATAGTTGCGGCTAAAACCCAGTGAAAAGGTGATCCTTTTGAAAGCATTAATCACAACACAATAACATGATCACATGAAATTTGCTGACTCGGTATGATTCGGTCTGTACATAAGGGATAATGAATAAAATGCAACATTTCTCACACTACCTAGCACCAGCTTAAGTGGTATTCAATTTTTAACACTTTAAAATGCTTAAACACAAAGACACATATATATCCAAATCGATCATGATTTTTGTCCGGGGATTGTTGTCATGAACAACATTGAATTTCATACATGTATCTATGAAATATATTTGATCCATTGATCTATTCTTTCAAATAGACAATGGTTTGGTATTAAAACATAGCTCAATCATATGCATCATGTTATATATTTGCTTTAATATGATGCTGATGTTTTGTAATTCACGTAAGTAATGGTCACATATTCTTCCACTGATGTTCAAACATGGCCGTAAACATAACAAAGATTCAAGTTTCCAACAGTGATTCTTTTCTTTATAACCTAAATGTCTATCTTTCAAAGATGTAATTGAATCATTCTGCAGAAGCAAGTTATCCTTATCCCAGACTTGTATACCTGCAGCATCACCAGAAAAATCGACACGTCAATACAATTCAATTATCTTTAACTATGAAGACTTTTACACTTGTATTGTCACAATTTGCATACCAACACCTAGTACTATTCTAAGACAATCACGTCTGTAATAAAAACACTCGATTCCAACTGATATTTGTTCAGTCCTAGTCCTTTTCCCTTACCGCCTGTACATACGCCAACTTTTGTAATACTATTAGGATATTCCTTAAAGTTAACAAAATTACTAAAACTGGAAACGTGTATATATGTATCACAGAAATGAATGAGATGTTAATTGAACTTATAATTAAATTTACGTGCACCTAATTTTTACGCGAGACACTCTTAAGGCACAATCAGCAGACTTATTTAATGAAGAACAATTGACATTACTGTTTTCTAGGGCAAGAAAGTAAGGCATTTCAAATTTTAACAAACGACTATTTAAATTGAATATAAGCATTTAAATTATTTACGATATTTTCATCGTGAATGTTCTTAAAGATATACTATGCTCAAAGTTTGTATCTTTAAATATTGATAATTGCTACACAGTCTCTTTTTTAAATATAGAATAAACGCGTTTTGACCAAACACAAAGTAGATGTCTTATGTTCTAAACTCTAGGTAAACACTATAGGTTGACACAATGAGA